CCGTGGGCCGCACGCGGGGGGGGGGGGGAGCAGAGCGGAGCACGTGGCCGCGCGTTCCCCCCCCCGCTTTGCTTCCTCTCCCTGGTCTGCTCGAGACCAGGGAGAGGAAGTGCCCCGTTCGTAACTGCGGATCCGACGTAAGTCGGATCCGCGTAACTCGGGGACTGCCTGTACTTCTTTTAAGTACAACATGTGCATATTACTACTAGCAATACGCTGACGCTGAGCATTTTCTCCAATCCCTCCAAATTCTTGCATCAGATAAAATACAGCCCACAGCGAGAAAAGCTATGTGTGTGCATGCATGAGAGTGTGTGTGTGCACACCAGTGTATGTGTTGCTATTGCTGCAAAGGGCAGAGTTATAATAGGCCCTAACGATTCATCTCCTTGCTCATAAGTGCTTGATTTTTCTAAATGATATGAGGGAAATAGAGGGTATGTCTACACTTGCACCCTCTTTCAAGAGAGGGATGCAAATGCAGACATTCAAAATTGCAAATGAAGTCGGGATTTAAATATCCTGCGCTTCATTTGCATATTTGCGTTATGGCGCTATTTCGAAATAACAGACGCTGTTAAGACGCAGTTATTTCGAGAGAAAACCCTTCTCTCGAAATAACCCTTATTCCTCATACAATGAGGTTTACCAGATATTTGGAGAGAAGGGTTTTCTCTCGCAATAACCACGTCTTAACAGCATCTGTTATTTCGAAATGGCGCTATTATGCAAATGAAGCACGGGATATTTAAATTTTGAATGTCTTCATTTGCATCCATCTCTCGAAAGAAGGTGCAAGTGTGGAAAGTTTCCGACATGATTTTTTTTCTTGTTTTTAGAATTTCCCACGTTCTGTTTTTTTTAAATGTGTGTGTGTCTGTCTGTATATGTGTGTGTCTGTATATGTGTGTGTGTGTGTCTGTATGTGTGTGTGGGTGTGGGTGTGTCTGTCTGTATATGTGTGTGTCTGTATATGTGTGTGTGTGTCTGTATGTGTGTGTGTGTGTGTGTCTATCCACACTTGAAAGCAATGCATGTGGCCCTTCTGCGGGGAGGTCAGCCCCCGCCATGCAAAGCAGCTTATCTTCCCTGAAGACATGGGGGGAACGGTTCGGAAGAATCAGCAAACCCCAGGCCAGACTCTCCGCTGCTCGGCACAAGGGGCTGTTGTTTTGCACTGCACTGGTGTAACGCCGGCGTGAGCGGAGAGTCAGGCCCCACGTGCCAAAGGGGCGAGTAGACCCACGGGCCAACAGGTTATTCAGGGACAGTGGGCATTGTCACCCTCCTGCCTTGGTCTTTTCATCAGCATACCGCACAGCCCAGGAGAGGAGAGGCCAGTACCATTACTGCCATTTTACACATGGGGAAACTGAGGCACGGAGCAGGGCACGACTTACTCCCCCAGCAAGCCAGCTGTAGAACGGAGGCTAGAGTTCAGGTACCCTAAATGTCACGCCTGTGCTCTATCCACTAGACAACACCACCGCCTAAGGCCTAGCATTCAGCAGCCATGAGGGGATCTTTCTGAGCGCTTTGTGGGCAGACTCAACACACCTGCCATCTGGACCAGTCTGGCAAGCAGGGTCCAGCGGGCTCCCCTCAGGGGATGGAGAATGGAAGCAGAGGAAGGGTTTGGCCCAGGACAGAGCATCCGGCCTTCCACAGAGGAAGCAGGCAGACGCCCTTGGCTCTAGCAAGAGAGGAGCAAAGGAACAGCCTGGGGCAGGGGGTCCCCAGGTTCCAGAAACAGCAGCTACTTCTTGAGGCTCTCAGGGTAAGTCTACACTACAGCGCTAATTCGAACTAAGCTAATTCGAACTAACGCGTCTAGAACTAAAAACTAGTTCGAATTAGCGTTTTGCTAATGCGAACTAGCATGTCCACATTAAGTGGCCCCTGAACCGGGGTTAAGGCTGGCCGGAAGCAGTGCCGGCAGGGCATCAGAGGAGGACTTAGAGCGTGGAGATGCTGTCTCAGGCTAGCCGAGGGCTGCGCTTACAGGGTCCCGACCCCCACCCCAGACAGACAGTTCTAAGGGGTGCCTCGCTTGCAAAGCAGTCCTGGCTGGGAGTGCCCGGAGTACCCACACTGGGCACATCACCCCACTCGGCCATCAGCCCAGCTGCACTTGCCGCAGGCTGCCATCTGGGGAGAGAGGGCAATTGGGGGGCTGCAGGAGAGCTTCCACCCCCAGAAGCCCGCAGAGCCAGCCCAGTCCTCCCCATCGGGGGCTCGTACCCCATTCCTCCCTCACCTCCTTCCACTTACCCTTCCCTAGCCCCTTTTCTTGATGTACAAAATAAAGGACAATTGTGTTCAAAAATGGAATCTGTCTTTATTGAACAAAACTGGGGGAGACTGGGAAAAGGAGGTGGGAGAGGGGAAGAGAGAGGCTGGGAGAGGGGAGGGCAACTAAAATGATCAGGGGTTGGGAACAGGTCCCATATGAAGAGAGGCTAAAGAAACTGGGACTTTTCAGCTTAGAAAAGAGAAGATGGAGGGGGGACAGGATAGAGGTCTCTAAAAGCAGGGGTTGGGTGGAGAGGGTGCATACAGAAAAGTTCTTCATTAGTTCCCATAAAGAAGGACTAGAGGACACCAAAGGAAAGGAATGGGTAGCAGGCTTCAAACTAGTAACAGAAAGTTGTTCTTCACAAAGCAAAGAGTCAACCTGTGGAACTCCTTGCTGCAGGAGGCTGTGAAGGCTAGAACTAGAATAGAGTTTAAAGGGAAGTGAGATCAAGTCATGGAGGTTGGGTCCATGGAGTGGTATTAGCCAGGGGGTAGGAGTGGTGTCCCTGCCCAAGGTTTGTGGAAGGCTGGAGATGGATGGCACGAGACAAATGGCTTGGTCACTGTCTTCGGTCCATCCCCTCCAGGGTCCCTAGGGTTGGCCGCTGTTGGCAGACCCCCTTGATTTTCATGCACACCTGCTCCTGGGTGGCCAGGCTGGCAGCTCTCCTGCCCTAGCTGGCCACTTTCCTGTGCCTAGTGCAGAGATCGTGGACGAGGTCCCCGATGTCCGCACTAGCCCAGGCGGGTGCCCGCCTCTTGCGGTCCCGGGCAAGCTCCCGGGAGCCGCCAGCCTGGTCCCGGGAAGAGGGGGAGGGCTGGGGGGCATCGGGTGGGTGGCTCGATCCGTGCCAGGTGCAGGGTCTGCTGGCTGGGTGCTGGCAGGCTTGCACCTGGCACGGGCACCGTAGCCAGCCCGTGCCCCTTTAAGGGGTCCGGGGCCGGGAGGGGGGCAATAGAGTTTCCCTGGTGTTGGCCAGAGTGGCCACCAGGGAAAGCTGGGGAGGACTAGCCTCCCACTAGTTCGAATTAAGGATCTACACAGCTAACGAACTAACGGAGCGCTAGTGTAGCGCCTATGAAAGTTAGTTTGAACCAACGGATGTTAGTTCGAACTAACTTTGTAGTGTAGACATACCCTCAGGAATCTCATAGACTCCACGGTCAGAAGGGACCATTATAATCATCTAGTCTGACCCCCTGCACAGTGCAGGCCACAGAATCTCACCCACCCACTGCTAGGATAATCCTCTCACCTAGATCTCAGGTACTGAAGCCTTCAAATACTTTGAAGACCCCAAGAATCCTCCAGCTGTGATCTGTGCCCCATGCTACAGAGGAAGGCGAAAAACCTCCAGGGCCTCTGCCAATCTACCCTGGAGGAAAATTCCTTCCCGACCCCAAATATGGTGATCAGCTAACCCTGAGCATGTGGGCAAGACTCACCAGCCAGACACCCAGAAAGTTCTCTATAGTAACTCTTATCATCCCTCCATTGACTTATTTCCCACTGATAATGAATGGTCAATTAGTTACCAAGATCATGTTATCTCATCAAACCATCCCCTTCATAAACCCATCTAGTTTAATCTTGAAACCAGATAGACCTTTTGCCCCCGCTACTACCCTTGGAAGGCCGTTCCAGAACTTCACTCCTCTAATGGTTAGAATCTGTTTGGGAATTGGCCGGGAGTTATTTCACCACCATTATGGGCAGGCCATGCAGACTAGTGGGTAGAGCAGTGGACCTACGGAAATAAGTCCTGTTCCCACCTCCACTAATGCAAACCCTCCGGCAATGCTGGCTGCCTTGGTTTCCCCCCTGCCAAATGGAAGGAAAGTCACTCACCTGCTTGGTAGAGTGTCTGGAGATCAGCTGAGGACACGTCACATACCGGGAGCCGGCTGGGCATGCTTAGCTCTCGGGACAAGGAATGTTGGCCACGCATGCAGGACGGGGACTCTGCCGTGGGAAGCAGCCACGCTGAGTCAGATTTGGCATCGGGGGGGGGGATGGGCTTGGACATGCTGCAAGTTGTTGTGGGCCCTAAGTGAGGGCCCTGATTCCGCAGCCTTTTATCATTGGGTGCAACCTAGTGCTGTGCGGAATTTGACACTAGTCCTTAAACTCGGCCTTTGGTCTGTTATGGTAGGGCCTACAGTATGGAACCGGAGCTGCGTGCCTTAAGCCCACCTTCCAGTCTAGGGCAGTCTCAGCCTAAGAAACAAGAAATTCATTTCAGTGTGACTGGAATGGGGCTGCTCATGGTATCTCCTTGAGCGGGAGGTGGAAGGAGGCATCCCAGGGTGGGAAAAGGGAAAGTGCTTCTGTTCATTTCCTGTGGGCAGGCCCAGCAGAACTGCTCAGCAGAAAGCTCCGGAGTGTGATGGGAAAACCGAATTCACGCCCATTTCACTGTGCGCTGTACCAGGCCCGTACAACGCAGCTGGAAAACGAGCAGCGAAGGGCCAGGCACACAGAGCACGTGGTGAGTCGAGATTGCCAAGGACTTTTTAGCAGAGATTGGCGTGTGCAGCAAAGACTTTGCCAGCGAGAATATCTCGCCACCTAGGCCCCTTTTCTGAGCTTCCCTTCTTTCAGGGCACGAATAATACTTGTCGTCTCCAAACAGTCGTCTTTAGCTGTCCGATTCGGTCCCAGTCAAAGGGCTTCAAAGCCAGTTTGAACTCATTCTTCTCTCTAGGTATCACTGTGGTACCTCCGGAGTTCAGGAAGGATCCAGTAAGTGCAATCCGTGCGTGGGCCTGAGCTTTTACATCGCGTCATTGATTGTCCAGAGATCTAAACATAAATCATTGTTTTCAGTATTCTTCCCTCCTCCAGCCACCAGGGCTACTCCCCTTCCTCGAACCTGGGGGCAGCCCTCAGCCCCAGATCCCAGCGGAGCCCCAACTCCTCTCTGCGCCTCCTGGGGCTCTTCAGTTTCCCCCACTGAGTCTAAGGGGCTGGAGCAGGGTCCCCGATTCCCCTTCCTCTGCCCTTCCCAGGCAGGCGCTACAGGGTGACTTGTCCTCTCTCCATGGCTCACAGGCGGGGAGGAGGCAGTGAGAGGCTGGGAGTCACCTGGGGATTCTCCCATCAGCGCCCCACCGGTCCCCAAGGAGAAGTGAGGTGCGGGGTAGCCAGAGGACGCCGGGGCTCAGAGATCAGCGCACGGCTGGAGGCTGGCTGCGACAATGCCTGCGATGGTGGACAACTCAGGCTAGCCCAGCACACGTGACACTTGGCTGGGAAGCTAACGGTGAATAAGAACAAGGGGTATTATAATAATAATCTGTGGAGCCTCAACGTGCACTAGCCACGTTTCTGAGGATTTATTCCTGGCTGTATGGTGGCAACGTGGTGTCCAAAGGTACAGCCGCCGCCTTGTAACTGACGCACGGACGGACCTTATTCGTGTTGTGCCGCACCTAGAAGACATGTGTGACTTCCAGGGTCTCCCGAAGCCCTTTGAGATCAGTGGATGAGCTCAGCATTAGGATTGCAGTATGAAGAAGGGCACGGGAACAATAACCCCCGCAAAAGATTATTCATCCCTGTTATTTTTTGGGGGGAGGGGGGAGGTTCACGAGAGACTCCTGCTGGAGGTGCTGGAAGAAAGTTGAGAGGAACTTTACAGGGTGAGATGAAACTCAATCCCAACAGAACTTCCAAGCAGTTTTGATCCCTAAGCCTCTGATTGCCCCTAATAATGGAACAACGACTTTCCCTCCCATATCGACTGCCACATGGTTTCTTCGAAATTGCAGAGTTCTCTTGTCAGGGACTGGAGGGGGGAGGGGATTTCTAAGCATGTCAGAGGCGAAGCCTGGAGTCATTTGTGTCTAAGCTTTTCAAGCCCTCTCAGCTTTCCTCGCTGCAGAAATCCAGCTGACAAAAGGATCAAATTCCAGTTTATCCTGCAAATGAGATTTCGGGGAGCGGCTGGGGATGGGGGGGAAGTATCACATCAAACATTTGGTTGTGCCAGGCCTCAAATCCGTATCCCCAAAGCCCAAAGCCTGTCGCACTCCCTGCCCTTGAAAGGCAATCATTCTCCGGCCCTTCCCAAGGACAGAACTAGACACTGGTTAAGCGGCTTTCTCTGATGAATGGCTCCAGGAAAAGTTTGGAATCAAACCCATCTGAGCTCCTTTCTGGCTCTTTCCAGTTCCCTTTGAAGTCCTGCACCAAGCAGGACAAGTGCCCCGGAGGCAGCCAAAGTGCTACTACGAACAGAGGGAGGGGGATGCCGGGGAAGGGCTTGGAGGACAAGGGGACGTGTGTGGGTTTGGTTCTTGTTTCAGGCCCATGCCATGGGCTAGCATCCTGGAAATGGACTGACAGCTGGCAGCGTGGCATAGAGGGCTGTGCACTATAATGGCACTCCGGAGAGGTGGGTTCTGGCTGCTGTGGAATCTAAGGCGAGCCAATCCCCTGCTCTGTGCCTCAGTTTACCCATCTTTCAAATGATCCTGACCGCCTTTGCAAAGCACTTGGGGAGCTGCCAAGGAAAAGAGCTGGGAGTTCTTGTCCCCAAGGCCAAGCGTTCAAAAAGCACAAGTCACGTTCCCTGCCCCCCCATTCACAAGATTAGCTCGAAAATCACAAGGCTTGAAACCAGCCATTTCCTTTGGGCTCTGTGTTTCTCTTTGTGCCTTTTGGACGGGGCACGTGTTCCAGCTTCCTCTGCAAGCCCGAGGGCTAGAAACGGCAGGGAAAGCTGCAATCCTGCAATCACCGGACGCGCAGGACAGAACTGTGACACCTGGCAGGACAGAACCAGAGTAGCTCTTGGCCTGAGCCAACGCATCCGTGGGGCCGGCTCATGCACAGCAGAACTCTGGGAGTTTGGAAGAAACACCCGGGGCCGTAGATTTGGTTACTGGTCTGTGTCTGGTGAGACTCCTGGGGGGCCTCCTGGAGACTGCTTCCCAAAGCCAGGGGGGTTGATCCAGGTGTGTTGTCCGCCCGGGGAACTCTCCCTCACACAATCAGTGCACGTCTGTCTCATGGATTCTGCCGTCCGCCGGGCCCGGGAAGAGGCACGCACGTCTCTCCAGTCGCTCTAGTTCGCTCATTACCCTGAGAGATTAGAATCACGGATTAGCTCAGCTTCAATCAGCCGCAATGCCACGCCGGGAGCCCCCAGACGCTGACACCATTAAGTGAGCGTGGCCCCGTTTTCATCACTGCTAGAGCGAGCCGCAGAGCCTGGAAGATACGTTCATGTCGGGCATGGTTGTTTTGCTGGGGGTCCTGTAGACATGAGAGACAGTTTGAATTCTGGGAACCTTTGCCAGAGGGGGCAGCTAGTTAAAGAAGTCACGTCTCGGTCCCAGGCAGCACACGGACGATTGGACGTGTCGACCATCTTCTCACCCCCGCCAGGGCATCTGCACTTCCTGCCCATGCAGGCAGAGCAGTCCCCGGAAGGGTCCCCTCTTATGTGGGGGCTGCAGGCTGCCACATGCAATGACCCAGCGGTCCTGTGTGCTGGCCCCGGCCGTTGGACGAGGATGTGTCTGTGAAGGCAAGCTGGAGCGTGCCTGCGTGTGAGCACGGCTGTGTCTGTGAGTGCACGGGTGTGCATGATGCCTCAGTGTATTGCATGCACGGGGAGCAGACGTCTGCAGCACAGGTGTGTGAGTGACCGCATGTAGCTCTCTGCACAGCACATGCATATGGGTGGCAGACCAAGGTGTAGCGGGGGCTGGACTCGATGACTCCTGAGGTCTCTGCCAGCCCTAACCTAGGATCCTGTGCATGAGAGTGCAGGGAGAGCCCACGGTACACATCACGCCGACAGGCAGAACCAAACCGGGGACCCCAGGACCTTAGTGCATGAGCCTCTAGCGCATGAACCAAAAGCCAGCTGGCTCCCTTCTAAGGCCGGAGCAGACCCATTACTTGCTGCAGGTGGTCTCAGTGCCCTACACCTAGAAGGTGTGCAGGTTACACACACGTCTGCATATGGGCCGTGTGCTCCAAGCCAGTCTTGTAAAACTCCCAAGCTGCTGGTGGGGGCAATGGGGTGAATGTAGCCGTCTTGTTGGGAAAAATAAAGGGCCGTAGGCAGAGCCCTGTGGCTAAGGGCTGCAGCACCCCACCTGCAAATCTGCCAGTGCTGATCTGTGCCAAGCCTCTTCCCTGGCATTGTCCCTGCAGCCTGCCCATGCCCGGCGCTGATGTTGGGGTTAACGGCGTCCCCGGCTGCCGATCAGCGTTGGAACTCACAGCCGCAGGGCAAATGTCTGCCTGGCATGAAGCTGTGAGACCAGGGGGCCGCTGGGAATCCCTGAGCCAAGCCCTTCCGCCTGTGGTCAGAGAGGCCTGCTCATTCCAGTCACTCTGGATCTCCCCCCACACCCTCCCCTCCCGCGCAGGAAGCAAAGGGATTCTCTTGCAGAGGCTCCCCTCGGGGCACGTCTCTGGGGTGGCGCATGCTTCTGTGCAGGAAACCCTGGCACAGAGCTCCTGGGAATGGGGTCCCTGTGGCACAGAGCTCCTGGGGATGGGATCCCCATGGCACGGAGCTCTGGGAATGGGATCCCCATGGCACAGAGCTCCTGGGAATGGGGTCCCCGTGGCACAGAGCTCCTGGGAATGGGTCCCCATGGCACAGAGCTCCTGGGAATGGGGTCCCCGTGGCACAGAGATCCTGGGAATGGGATCCCCATGGCACGGAGCTCTGGGAATGGGATCCCCATGGCACAGAGCTCCTGGGAATGGGGTCCCCGTGGCACGGAGATCCTGGGAATGGGGTCCCCATGGCACATTAAAGATTCCATGACCGTTTTTGTAAGAACAAAGGACTAACCCTGTGACCTTACAAAATGTTTGCCTCTCATGCAGAGTCCATTTCACAGTCTGTCTGCAGTCTTTCAGTGTAGTATAGTTTATAACTATAAATTGTCCACAGCACAGAGCTCCTGGGAATGGGGTCCCCGTGGCACAGAGATCCTGGGAATGGGATCCCCATGGCACGGAGCTCTGGGAATGGGGTCCCCGTGGTATGAAGCTCCAGAAAATCTCTACCTTTCTTTGTGGACCATTGTGCATAGGCTTGGGCTGAAGTGTTGCCATGGTCACCACGTAGGTGCAGGGAACCACAAGCAGACCACTCCAGTGATTACCTCATAGGCCAAATCCAAGTCTGTGCCATGCATGGAAGGAGAATGACCTTGGTTGACTTGTAGCCCAGCCTTCAACCTTTGAAAGTCAGGGCGAGGGGCGGGCCATAGCCAACCCGGGGAGGTCCCAGAGTTATAGCACCATGAGAGTGTAATGTGGGGTCTGGGACTGGCAGGTCCATTGGCTTCCCAGAAGGTTCATAAGTAGCTTGTGAACCTGGCCCTTCCATTTGCATTACCTGGCACTGCCGCCATCAGCCAGGGATGGAGATCGAGCACCCCCCAGATCACAGCCCGTCAGATGCAATAGAGCTGGAAGAGAAGAGCAATTTACTAAAGGTGGCCTGGAGGACCGAGGACATCCCCTGGGGCAGAGAGGGTGGCTCTGGGCCAGTCCAGCAAGCTCAAAACCAAAATCCTCAGAGTCCGACATAAAGAGAACAAGTGAGCAAAGCAGACAAAGACTGGCTGCAACTTGCTGGCACATGGGTGGAATAACTGGATTCAATCAGGATAAATTAGGAAGAATATCACCCATCTTGAATTGCTACTAGCCTATGAGGTTGCAATTATGTGCCACGCCAGGGACCGTACGGCTGTCAAAGGAAT